GTAGTAGTAGTAGTAGTAGTAGTAGTAGTAGTAGTAGTAGTAGTAGTGGGAGGAATGACAAGGAACAAAATCCAGGAAGAACACATGACAAAACTCCGAAGATCTATCCAGCATTCTTAAGATGTTTAGTATAATCAATGTCAGCTGCATCAGAGAAGCCTACAGATAATCCTCGAATTATGACCATAATTGAGTCCAGAATTTATGTTGCTAAGTGAGAAATTGGTTAAGTGAGTATCGCCCCATTTTACAAGTTTTCTTGCCACGCCTGTTAAGTGAATCATAGCAATTGTTAAATTAGTAACCTGGTTGTTAAGTGAATCTGACTTTGCTTGTCAGAAGGTCCCAAAAAGATGATCCCATGGATCCCGGGACACAGCCAAGGTCATAAATATGAACCAGTTGTCAAGCATCACGTGGGGAATGGTCATAAGTGTGAAAAATGGTCATAAGTCACTTTTTTCAGTGCTGTTGTAACTTCAGTCACTAAATGAACTATTTTAAGTCGAGGACTACCTGTATAAGCTTGTATCGGGCAACTTGCAATTCGGGGTGTGCAAGACATGTAAAAAACAAACAAACGGTGTGGCTGCAGCCGCCATCTTGGTATTTTGGAGCCTGTGGACTTGAGGGCATCTCTTTCCCAAGGTCAAACTTACCCGAATGAGTCTGAATATTTTCATAGTCTCAAAAGTTTCCAGACCCACAACTGAGCCATCGGGCCCTCGATATCCTGCCACAATCCGGGACACCCCAGGAAGAAAAGACTGGGCCCACCACTTGATAATCTTGTGCCTGAAAAGAAGGCAGATGATTGCAATGAATGTCAATCTGCATTGAAGTGAACCCCCATCCACTCAGCTGGGAAGTGCTCCGTTTCCTCGGGTAGTGAACCAAAGAATTGATTAATCCTGGTTTAATTTGGAAAAAATAAGCCACAATGCGGAACTGCAGCCTGTTGTTGGCTTACTGACTACAAAGTAGTCCTCAACATATGAGCATAATTGAGCCCAGAATTTCTGTTGCTAAGGGAGAAATTTGTGAAGTGTTAACCCGTTTTATGACTGTTCTTTCCAAATTTGTTAAGTGAATCGCTGCAGTTGTTAAATTAGTATCGTGGTTGTAATGCGGACTGTGGGGTGCTTAGATCTGGCCCATGGGAGCCACCCTGGAAATAGCAAAGGACCAGCCCGCGGTGCCTCCGCCAGCAAAAACAGAGCTCGGGAGGGCCGTATCCAACCCCCACAAGCTCTGTTTTTGCTGGCAGAGGCTGTCATGCCCCTGTTGGAGACTGACTCTGAGGGAGAGGAAGAACAGACACAGGGAGCGGGAGTGTGGCTCCGGAGGTTGTGGAGGAAACTGGGGAAGGGCACAGGCCAGCTGGGCATTCAGAGGGAGACCCAGGCCCATCCCTTCTTCATCCTAGGGCACGTAGGGAGGAGTGGATAAGGAAGAAATGTGAATGGCGTGGTCTATGGGGGAGGAAAGGGCCTTGATCCCCTTCATGGGCTGCAGCTGTGAGGACTGTTTTAAAGGACAAACCGCATGGGCCAGTGCTGGAAGCAAAGCGTGAAAATATTTCTAGTTTGTCAGTTCTTATCTGAATTCTGGCATCCTTCCCAGTGTGCGTATTTCGATATCTCTGGATGTCTTCAAGCCCTTATCCTGCCAGTCTCATTAATTGCTTCAGTGTGGTTTGTGTTGTTGCTTTTTTCTATTTATAATTTATAGGTATTTTGAGTTTGAACAGAAGTTCTTCCTTTTCGCAACTGTTTGTGGGGGAGTTTTTTCTCCAGTCAATGATAATTGGACCTTTGAAGCCAAACTGAAGGAATTAAAGGGACTTCACCTGTTTTTGTGACTTTGTTGCTTTTGTATCCCACTCTGGATCATCACAGAAGGTTGCAGGAGGCCGTCCCAGTCTAAAACAGAGATCGGTAGCCCGTTCTCACGGCATTGCACTCGGACTACTACAGGCACCCCTGACACGATTGACCATCCCCACCCTGGCCATGCCCCCCAGCCCCCCCCCCCAAAGGTCACACATAACCTGATGTGGCCCTCAATGAAATTGAGTTTGACACCCCTGCTGTAGATGTTTCTACTGCCTATGGGTCTACTGCAGAAGATCTGAGCTGCATACAAAGTTTATTTCCGCTGGCGGTAGTCCATCTTGTTTCCTTCTCGTTGCCAAACTGAAGCCCTGGATTTTGCCCCTGTTTTTCTATGCTTGCCACTTTGTGCCAATTGCCATTTTCCTCTCCCAGCATCCTAGGAGCCAGCCGAGAAGGGATGGCTGTGTGACAGGTCTAGCTGAAGAGGGGGGGACAGACGCAGGCATCAAGAAGGAAACACAATTTTGACTCTTCCTTCCTCACCTGTAGAAACTTCTCCGCTGAGCAGGGCTGTGCATGACTTTGCTAGTCTTCAGCTCCACGTAGCAACTAGGTGGCTGTGGCGAAGGGCTCCGGGGATCGGTGCAATCTACCTCCCCAGAGAAGAGAAGAGAGTGATTTCCCAGGCGGGACCGAATCACTGTGCAGAAAGCTTCATTTGTGTTCACTACTCCAGTTGGATCAGGAATCCCATCGGGAGTATCTGAAGGAGAATGAGAAGGTTGTTCATTTCCAGGTCATTCCTTCAAGAAGCTGTACAGGCAATTGTCCACTTACTATCACAATGGGAACTGGAATTTCTGTCCTAAGATGAGCCAGACATGATTTTAGAACCATTTTTATGATGGTCGCTTTAAGCAAATCATCACGGTTATTCAGTGAACCCCCACGGTCATAAGTGCAAACCCATTCTTTTGGACATCTTTTGCTGGAAAGTTGCCCCCAAAAACTTGCAAATCAGGGTCACATGATCACAAGGCATTATCGGTCGTAAACATGAGCCGGATGCCAAACGCCCGAATTGCAATCATATGAACATGGGGTTGGTAAGACAGCCATAAATGCAAGGACCCAGCATAAGCGTGAGGACCGGATTGTCATTGGTCCGATTAATGAACCCAACAAAAAACAGGCACTTTCAGGAACTCTGAAATCCCAAAAGCAAAACTTTATGGAGTACATCATTTCAGCACTGAAGAAAGCAAAACCAGCTCTAACTTTTCCTGCGCAATGCTGCAAAGAATAGATTTCTCCCCTCCTCCCACTGGACAAGTCACATTGTCCAATTATGAATCGTTCTTTTGTTTTGAGAAAGGTTCATGTCTTGGCCAACACCTGCAGAAGTGTCCTTGGCTCTCACAGTTGAAGCCTGGAGTCTCCCCATTCTATCTTCCCCTGCCCTGGGGGGAGGGCAGTTCTTTGGCAAGGGTAAAAAGTTAAAAATTAAAATTCACAGAAAGCATAAGCGAATTCAATCTTGTCACAGACTTTTTCAGCAGCTGTTGTAACTTTGAACCATCACTAAATAAATGGTCACAAGTCAAGGACTGCCTGGTATAAACATGGTATTGCATCGTTGCAATCATTCAGTCAACCATTAGCTGGATTAGCTGACTAATATCCATCTGCATAAAAAGTGTCAGTTTCTCCCATTTTTTTCCCCCTGAGTTTTGCTACCACAGACAAACACGGCTCTCCACCTACATTGTCTGCCTCCAGGATGGATTTGATTTAAATCATATCGTTTTAAATCACGATTTAAATCACTAGTAAAAAGGCTTGATTTAAATCAACTCGATTTAAATCATAATTTTTAAACAGCAACTGTCATCTCTGTCCTGAAGCATTTCCTCTGCCCTGCTGCTAACTCACCGACAGTCCTAATATTGCAGAATATACAGCCTCATGCTACATAACTAAGCTCCCATTTCATGCTGAATAAAATAAATTATTAATGTATGTTAAATAAAAAACTAGATTTTTACTCAAATCATTTTATTAAAATAAATTTGATTAAAATAAAAAAATCCAATTTAAATTTTAAAAATCTGATTTTTTATTTTTTTTATTTTTAAAAAATCATTTTTATCCACTCTGTCTGCCTCATTCCTAGTAATTCAAACACTCTGAAAAAGACAGAAGCATCAGCTGAGTTTAGGAAGGGAAAAACAAATTAAGCATTGCTCCTAAAGACCTGGCTTTCAATTCACAGCTGGGAGCTCTCCAGAAACCTTACCGGCACACATATATTGCTCAAATTTATATCCCATATACATGAGCTCCTTCAGCATTTCTGAGCGCTGCTCCCGTTCTCGGCGGGCGGCCTCAGTTTCAAACTCGCTAATGTACAAGGTCCCCCGGAAGAGAGTGACAGCCAGCAACCATCCCTCCCGACTCTCGTATGGGGTGGTCAGCACTTTGGTGAGATGCCCCCGCCAAGTCACAAAGTCAGCATTCAGGAGCTTTCTGCAGGGGAGAGGGAGAGGGAGAAAGACAAAGAGAAAGAAAAAAGAGAGAAAGAAAATGAGAGAAAGGAAAAGAAAAAGAAAGGGAAAGGGGAGAAAGAAAAGAGAGAGAGAGAAAAGAGAAAGAAAAAGAAATTATGAAAAAGAGAAAGAAAGAAAAAGAAAAAGAAATTGTGAAAGAGAAAGAAAAAGAAAAAGAGAAAAGAGAAAGGAAAAAGGGAGAGAAAGAAATTATGAAAGAGAAAGAAAAATTATGAAAGAAAGAAAAAGAAAAAAGAGAAAGAAAAAGAAAAAAAGAGAAAGAAAAAGAGAAAAAAAGGAAAAAGGGAGGGAGGGAGGAAGAGAGAGATAAGAAAGAAAGAAAGAAAGAAAGAAAGAAAGAAAGAAAGAAAGAAAGAAAGGAGAAATTATGAATAACCAACCAAAAAAACTAGATCTGCCTAAATCCCAGTAGAGTCAAAGCAAGATAACTATTTTAACACTGCTCTTTATTGTTTTTCCAGCAATACGTATCATAGTTACATTCTTAACAGCGTTAGACATCAACATATATTATTTTGCATCTTCTGTCATTGATTCATATATAAATATCAACTATAATTGTTTTCCGTGTTTATATTTGCTATTACATTCTATCTTTATCTGTCATATCTACATACCATTCTCTTAAGGTCTCTTCTACATAATTTTTGCTTTTCATCTCTTATCCTTAATTTGTAACAATTCGTACCATCTATGCCATATTGAGTAGTAATCAGATTCTTCTTTTTCCTTCATTTTTAATGTAAGCAATACTCATTTCTGCACAATCAGTTATTTTTTGTAGAACTAAGTCTTCTGTTGGTATATTAGGCCCTTTCCACATTTGCACGTATGCAATTCTGGCTGCAGTTAATATGTGTAAGAATTAGGTATTTTATCTTTTTTGGGTAACGGTCTTTAATTATTCCCAGTAAATAGGATTCTGGTCTGAGTTCAATTTGGTGCCCAGTGATTCCTTGTATCCAATCCTTAATTTGATTCCAATAGATCTTGGCCTTGGGGCATAGCCACCACATATGGTAAAAGGTACCGTCAACTTTTTGGCATTTCTAACATTTGGGGCTGGTATTTGGGTGTATTTTGGCTAATCTTGTCGGGGCTAGGTGCCATCTGTAAAAAATTTTGTATAAATTTTCTTTATATGTTGAGGCTACTGTTAATTTGTAATTTATATTCCATAATTTTTCCAAATCTATGTTATATCCAAAATTCCGTGCCCATCGTGTTCTTTACCGTTTCCTCGTGCATTTTAAAATCTAACAAATATCTGTATATTTTGGATATAAATTTTTGTTCTGGTCCAATTAAAATTTTATCTAATTGATTTTGCCCCCTACCGAATACAAATTCTTCTAAATCCTTTTTATATCTTATTTTGAATTTGAAGGTATGGTCACCAATCAATTGTAATTCCCTGTTCTTTAAGTTCTTGATTTGATTTGAGGTTCCCTTGGGTGTCTAATAATTCATTATAATTTATCATTTTCCCTAAATCCAATCCATTAGGATTTATCATGGCCTCCATGGTTGACCATCAACATGGTATTTTCATGTAGTATTTATTCTTAATTTTCCTCCATGTCAATATAAGTGAATTTCTTATTAAATGTCAGTTAAAGTAGGCATGTGTCTTACCTTTTTCTCCCATAAGTGTGCATGCCATCCTTCCTGGAGGTCATGACCCTCTATGGTTAGTATTCTCTTGTTTTTTAGTTTAACCCAATCCTTGATCCAATCTAATATTGCTGCCTGATAGTAAAGTTCCCATTCTGGTAACCCAAAACCACCTCTGCTTTTATTATCCTGCATCAATTTTAATTTAATGTGTGGTTTTTGGCCCCGCCAAACAAATTTGGTTATTTTATTCAATTCAATGAAAAATTGTTTTCCTAATTTTATCAGGATCATCTGAAAAAGGTACATCAATTTTGGTAGTGTGTTCATCTTTAGCACTGCAATTTTGCCTAAGATTGATAACTGTAGTTTCCCCCATGATTCCAATTCTTTCCTAATTTGTTCATTTAATTTATTATAATTGTCCTCCTTGACTGACAAACACCTAACGGATAGCCATATTCCCAAATATTTTTTTTCGCTCTGTAATCACAATTTATTTTGTAATTCTATTTTCCCGTAGTTTTTAACAATCATTTTAGTTTTGTTCTTGTTTATTTTTAATCCAGCAACTTCCCCCAATTTTTCTATTTCCTGAAGTAATATATGCCCATTTTTTATTGGTTCTTCCACTATACATATAAGGCCGTCTGCGAATGCTTGGACCTTGTATTGTTCGTTCCTAATTTTGACCCCTTTTATTTTTGGGTTTCGTCTAATTGTGGCAAGTAGTATTTCCAGGGATAAAATAAATAGCAGAGTTGATAGTGGGCATCCTTGTCTCACTCCTTTGCCTATCTCAAAGTCATCCGTATGATCTCCATTCAATAGTATACTTGCTTTTTGAGTAGAGTATATGGCCTGTAATGTTTTCACTATGTTAATACCAAAATTCATTCCTTGTATTTGTTGTAGCATAAATTTCCAATTTAGATTGTCAAAAGCCTTTTGTGCGTCGAGAAATATTAATGCTGCTTGCTTTTCAGGGTGCGCTTCATAATATTCGATTGCGTTTAACACTATTCTAATGTTATCTCTAATTTGCCTATTTGCCAGGAAGCCGTTTTAGTCCGATTGTATAATCTCACTTAAAATTGGCTTCATTCTTTCTGCTAATATGGTCATAAATATTTTATAATCTGTGTTTAACAGGGAAATTGGTCTATAATTTGAAATCATTTGTTGTTCCTTTGGAATTAGGGTAACATATGCCTCAGACCAAGACTTTGGCAATTTAGCTTCTAGTAACACCTCATTGTATACCTCTAATAATGTCGGTTCAAGTAATTCGTACATATTTTTATATAGTTCACTAGGGAAGCCATCTGGTCCTGGCGTTTTGTTATTTTTCTGCTTTTGTACTGCCTTTTTCAGCTCTCCTGGGGTTATTTCTCTATTCTGGCTGTTTTTGAGGCTGTTTTGGGGCCTGTTTTCTGGCTGTTTTGGGGGCCGTATTCTGGCCAGTTTTTTGGGTGTTTGGGGGCGTTTTCTGGCCATTTTCAGCCAACACAGTGCTGCAGGAGGCCATGGAGGGTGAAAACAAGGCATGGGGGTGGGTGGGAGGCGCATGCAGCCCATTTTAGCCGCCAGAGGCACCGCAGGACAGTCCTTTGATATTTCCAAGCCAGCCCTGCAGGCCTGATTTAAGCACCCCACAGGCCGGATCTGGCTTGCGGGCCTTGAATTTGACACCCCTGCTCTAACTCTTTCTCACCCTTTGTCCTCAGTCTGTAACTGCTTCCGGTTCTGCACAATCCATTGCAGCAGATGCTCCAGGCCTTCACGAACGCTGTCATCCCGCTGCACGTAGCGGTTGCGGTAGCCATCGCGCAAGTCAAATCCAGGGGAGGGGCCTTCGCAAGGGGGCGGAGCATAGTAGCGCAGCTGACGAGAATCTCCATGGAAGCACCGCTTGGCATCTAGGGAAAAGCATCCCATTTCAGCTGGCCGCCGGTAAAAGGGGAAAGGAGCATCGTACAGAGGGGGAGTAACCGGCAAAGTAAGGGGCGCCTTGGTATCGCTCCTTGGATGCTTGACTTTGGATTCATCCTCGTGATCCCCTTGGCTGAAAGACCTGGAACCAGCCGTGTGCTTCATAAGGGTTTGTGTCTAATAACAAAAAGAATGAGCATGAAACTTCTCCCTTCAGAATACACACCTGAGAAGTTGTCCTCGCTTAGCGTTCCTCTGGATTTAAGGCTAAGGTGGAAAATGTCTGCAGCGATTCTCAGGCATCCAGGTCATGGCTGTCCCAAAGGTGCTCTTTTCTGGAGGCAACTGGACTTTGATTTGTCTTTGAAGATGTTTCACTTCTCAGCCAAGAGATATCGGGTATGGAAGGATTTAATATTCCTTGCAGACGGCTGGTGATCCTGTCAGAGCTGAAGAAGCTTCTTGGATGAGAAGCGAAATGTCTTCAAACAAAAAAACAAAAAAACAAGGAAGTCCAGTTGCCTCCTGAAAAAAGCACCTTGGGGACAGCTAAGATGGAAAGGAACTTTTAAAACTCTAACCCAATATTTGACATTACAAGTAGTCCTCAACGTACAACAGTTCATTTAGTGACTGTTCAAAATTACAATGGCACTGGCAAAAATGACACCACTGCGGTATTCATGTGATCACAATTCAGGCACTCAGCAACTGACTCATATTTATTACAGTTGCAGTGTCCTGAGGATCATGGGGTCACCTTTTGTGACCTTCTGATGAGCGAAGTCAATGGGGAAGCCAGATTCACTTAACAACTGTGTGACTAACTTAACAACTGCAGTGATACACTTAAAAACCATGGCAAGAAAAAATGGGACAAAACTCAAACTATTATATCCTTTCCATAATCACTCATCTTATGCCCAAATAACCCCGGATAGCTCACAGCAAGAATGATAAAACATAAAACAGTAATGCTGACATTCTCCTCTGTGCATTTGCAGAGATCCCATCCCACTTTAGCTTGACACTTTGATATTCAGCCAACGTGGCTGGGTTTTGGTTCAGCATGATTGGATATTGAAGCAATTCGGTTAGCATGTGTAGGAATACTAAACTATTTTATGGCTCAGCATGATGTGGGAACTAAGCATGATTTGCTACTACTAGAAATATTTATTCTCCTTTGTTTAGTTTAGTTTAATTTACTTTATTTGTCATTGCACCTCATACAACAAAATTAAATACCATCTACAGTGTACATTATGACTATGGAAATAAACCCAAACACACATCCTTCACATTCTATACATTGAATTGAAAACCCTGATATTGCGTTAATATTTCACTCTACAGTAGAATTCAATATAATTACTGCCCTGGGATAGAAGCTGTTTTTCAGCCTATTTGTCCTTGTTTTTATTATTCTGTACCGTCTGTCAGATGGTGATAGTTCAAAAAAGGGGCCCCAGGATGAGATGGATCTTTGAGAATGTTTTGAACTTTCTTAAGGCTGCGGGAGCTATAAAGCTCTTCCAAAGAGGGGAGAGGGCAACCAATGATCCTCTGGGCAATGACGTTAACCCTCTGGAATGCTTTCCTATCTGCCACTGTGCAATTGGGAAAACATACAGAGGTGCAGTAAGTTAACATACTCTCTATGGTGCAGCAGTGGAAGGTCACCAGCAGCTTTTCATTGAGTTATTGTTTCCTGAGAAGTCTCAGGTAGTATAATCTCTGCTAGGCCCTTTTGACCAGGGCTGCAATGTGGGCACCCCAGGTCAGGTCCTCTTTTATGGTAACACCCAGAAACTTAAAACTGGCCACTTGCTCCACTCGGTCTCCATTGATAAGCAAGGGCTGGGTGTCTGATCTGTTCCTTCTATAGTCCACTATAAGCTCCTTGGTCTTATTGGTGTTGAGGATCAAGTTATTGTCTCCACAAGTTATTGTTTCTCCATTCTCTGTCTAGTATTAAAGTTGATTAGCAGTTTGGACTTCTTTTTCTACCTGTATAATACAAGCAGTCCACAACTTACAAAAGTTCATTTAGTGACTGTTCAAAGTTACAACAGAACTGAAGAAAAGTGACCAAATGACAATTTTTCACATGTATAACTGATGCAGCATCCCGCCCCTTGGTCACGTGATCAAAATTCAGAGGCCTAGCAACCATCATAACGATGAATCGCTTTCATCGTTATGACGGTTGCAGCGTTCCAGGGTCATATGATCCCCTTTTGCAACTTTCTGACAAGCGAAGTCAATGGAAAAGCCAGATTCATTGAACAAGGTCTGTAACAACTTCACTCATTTTGCCCCCATTTTACGACCCCACAGTTGTTAAGTGGAACAACTGCAGGAAGAAAGGTCGTAAAATGGGGCAAATTCCCTTGACAAATGTCTCACTTAGCAGCAGAAATTCTGGGCTCAATTGTGGTCGTAAGTCGAGGAGTACATGTAAAACAAAGACCCCCCTAAATCCTGACTCCTAATTCCTCCCCCCCCCGGGAGAGTTTAGGAGCTGACCCCTGCCCTTTGACCTCTGACCTGGCCTTGGATTCCTTTAGCGAGCATCAGAAACAAGGAAAATCCCAACGGAGCCTTCCCTGATCCTTCTTCCGAATTCCCCGCTTACCTGCCGTGACGTCAATACCAAGCGCCGGGAATGCCTGCAGCTTCGTTTAGGGGATCGCACGCCTAACGTTAAACCACCATTGAAGCCCAGTCGGAGCGGCTGGTTTTCTGGTCAAAAAACAAAGCCCACTTTCGCTTGTTTGCTCTAAGTTGCATCATCAAAGGGCGCCAATTAGCAGAGGAAGCCCTGCCTTTTCTTTTTCCCGGTTTCTTTCAGGGTCGTGCAATTTAAATGCAAGGCCACTAGAGGGCAGTCGAAGCCTGCTTTCTGATTCAGGCGCCTTTAAGGTTTTCTGGAGTTTCTCAATCTCAAAAGTCCTTTTAAAATGCGTTGGACCTCGACTCCCAAAATTTTCCAGCCAGCGTGGGGAGTTGAATGCTGGGAGTTGTAGTTTACACGTCTTATAGGGTCCAAGATTGAAAAAACACTAGTTAGTTAGTCTTAGACCTTCTTAATTTTTTTAACAGATTAACACAGTTGGAAGGGACCTTGTAGGTCATCTAGTCCAACCCCTAATCCAAAACCCATTTGACGGTTTTGCTTCTGCTCTGCAATCCCAGCCTGGAGATAATGGGAACTGTAATGTGAGACATTTGGAGGACATGGGGAAGGTATTTTATGCAAATTCCCAAGGAGCCTGTCCTGATCCTTTTTGGAAAGTGTTGAAAACTGTAATCATGTCAATACAATTAATCATTGGGATGGACTGTTAGAGTATTATTAAATTCATATTATGTTTTTTAAATTACTGTTTGTACTAGTATATATTTTTGAGCACAGTCTTGTCTGATTTTAAACTAATTAAGCTGTATAAGTTAGATTGGCAAGTTGAAAAGTCATTTTGGAAGAATGAAGTAGTTTTTTAGAAGCTGTCCATCAGGAAGTCAGCTAGACAGAGCTGCTTCCCCTTCATTTTTTTTTTAAATAAACATTTTTAAAAATCTGAACTACTTGGTTTTTAATATGCAATAAACCTAACAGGACATGAATAAACCTCGCATGATTTTTTTGGTCAAAAACAGAGATGCATCAAAATAGAAGAAAGTGATGGCTGTCTATGCTTTTCAAAGTGTTGGAAGAAATGTCCATCTGGGTTCAGTTCCAAGTGGGGAAAAAGACACTGAAAACATGGAAGCCGCTTGGGAAGCTTGGTTTATTGATGAAGAGGATGGGTTCCTGGGCAGAAAAGGGAAGAGATGCTGAGAGTCCCTGGGTTTTATGCCCTCTCTGGGCTTATAACTTCCTGGAGCACAGAAAGAGTATCCTGATTGGTTACTGTCAGAGGGCATAGCTAGCTTTGTAGGTTGTCTATGTGCTAAGTTTGGTTGAAACTTGGTGGGCGGTGCAATTAAATGGCTCTGTTTGAAGGAGGTAGATCTTTGTTATGTCGAATAGACTGGCCCAGGCCTTAATGGCCCATTAACAAAGGTGGGGGGGCTGAGATTCTGCCTCTCTGAGTTTCTACTTCTCTCTTAGGGGAATTATTCTGCCTTTTTAGTATATCCTAAAATATTTCATTTTTCTAAGAGAAGAGTGGGGTTTTAACTTCCAACATGTGGAAAAGAAAAAAGCAACTTTCTCTTGTTTCAGATGTGGTCCCCTCCAGCCTGCAAGACTGTTGGTCAGGCTGCTCAGAAGAAAGAGAGCCTACTGCTGATACTAGACAGCATTAGACTGCTGCCATTGGAGACCCATTTGTTGTTTAGCATTGAGATATCTCAAGAGTGGAAAGTAAAAGTGAAGTAACAGGGGACACAAAACCACTTCTTCATAGGCTAGACATTACAAGACCAAGAACATAGAAAGAAGGTTCAGTCTAATAATTCAGAAACATAAATCACTTGATTTTTGAGGAGCTTTTGCCAAAAGCAAAAGGTAAATGTGTATACATAGTTGTTGTGGCTCGGAGGTTTGAGCCTGCTTTGCTAGAGGACGAAGATTTGGACAATGAGAAAGAGGAGGATTTGGCTTTGAGGTTTGAGCCTGCTTTGCTAGAGGACGAAGACTTGGGCAATGAGGAAGAGGAGGATTTGGCTCTGAGGTTTGAGCCTGCTTTGTTAGAGGATTTGGAGTTGCCTTCCTCCCCAGGACTTTCCTCTTCGGACAGACCTTCCTCCCTGATTGTGCCTCAGGTGTCGGCAGATAACCAGGAGGGCGTATCAGAGTCTCTGACTGAGGAATGCTGGCTTGATGCGAGGCAACGGCGCAGGCAAAAGTGCAAGTTGCAACACAGAAAGAAAGGACAAATCAGAGACTGAGATGAGGGACTGACACGCCCCACAGGGAATAAAAGTGGGTGTGTTCGCTCTGGGAACTTGTTCGGGACAACGTGTTAATTAGTGAGAGAAGCTTCGGAAGATCCTGTGTGTGGCGACAGCTTGTGATTTATATTCCTGCTTTATTGTCGGACTTGGCAGACAGCTTGTGTGAAACTGCCAAGAACTTTCTTGGCTCAAGGAATTTAACCCTGTCATTACTGGACTTGTTTGCTTGTTTATATTCATTTGGAAATCTGGACTTCTCACCTCGTTTGCACAGGTGAGACATAACACATAGTGTAAATTTAAGTCTTGTTCCAACATCAGTGAGATGCTACCATCATCCAAACTTGCACAAAACAATTCTGATTGTGAAAAAAACAACAACCCTAATCACCAGGGAATTGTTACATATATCAGACTTAGACTTCAGAGCGTTGCATGTACATGTGCATGTGCAACCAAAAAAGCTAATGCAATCCTAAATTGCATTAACAGAGGGATACAATGAGATCAAGTGAGGTACTAATACCACTCTATAAAGCCCTAGTAAGACCATACCTAGAGTACTGCATTCAGCTATGGTCACCACACTATAAAAAAAGATGTTGAGACTCTAGAAAAAGTACAGAGAAGAGCAACCAGGATGGATTAGGGGACTGGAGACCAAAACATATGATGAACGGTTACAGGAACTGGGCATGGCTAGTCTAGTGAAGAGAAGGACCAGGGGAGACATGATAGCAGTATCCCAATATTTGAGGGGCTGTCACAGGGAGGAGGGGGTCAAGCTATTCTCCAAATCACCTGAAGGCCAGACAAGGAACAATGGATGGGAAATGATCAAGGAGAGATTCAACCTAGAAATAAGGAGGAACTTTCTGGCAGTGAGAACAATCAACTAATGGAGCAGCTTGTCATCAGAAGTTGTGGGAGCTTCATCACTTGAGACTTTCAAGAAGAGATTGGACTGCCATTTGTCAGAAATGGTGTAGGGGTTTAGACTTGATGACCTATAAAGTCCCTTCCAATTCTGTTAATCTAATCTAATCTAAATTATCACCGCATGGTGATCACCAATCACATCACCAATCTTGACCCTCATCTCAGAGCCATCCATATCTTTCCAGCCCAATCTGTCTTTCCCATAGTCTAAAATCATTGTTTTTCAACCTTGGCAACTTTAAGTTGGGTGGACCTCAACTCCCAGAATTCTCCAACCACTATTTTAAAATTGCCAGGGTTGGAAAAGACTGATCTAAATCTGTGTTTCTAAAAGTCTGTTCCAAGAACCTCAGAAGTCTCTCAGGGGTCTGCAAAATTTAATTTTTTTTTTGCCAGATATTGAAGACATTTTGCAAAAAGTTTTGAAGTGTCACTTTCATTATTTCTAATTGTTAAAAATTATAGCTTCATGAAAAATATGTATATTAATATTGAATAGGTTTGATATTTTCACACAATTCAATAAATTCTACAAATGTGTCAGTTTTAATATGGTAAACATCAATAAACATAACCCGCATAAGCAGAAACTCTTTGGGGGGGGGGGGTTCTCCATAATTTTTAAGTTATAAAAATTGGGATTCTGAGGGCCAAAAACTCAAGAAACAACCGTCCAGATTAGAATAACGGCCAAGCCCGCCTTTCTTCCTTTTAAAGAGGGCCATTTAGCCGGACGAGGAAGCCATTAGGCTTTCCATCTGCCAGTCAAGCTATTTTTCTCCCGCCTACTCCAAAGACGAAAGGAGGCCGCAAAAAAAACTCTTCAAACGGAGTTACGTCATCTGTTGCCGACGACCAGGAAGCGAGACGACTCGAGTGAGGACTGAGAGGGGTAGGAAAGGCATAACGAAGCCTCAATTCGAAGTGAAATCAATGGGTTTTATGATTCAGGGAGAAAATGTGTAATTTGGAGATAGGGAGCAGTTCGGAGGTGAAAGGTGGATAGGTAGGTAGCAGCCAGAAAGAAAAACAGAGATGATGCTTAGTTGCGTTGCTTGTGAAATAGAATAGAATATCAGTTGGAAGGGACCTTGGAGGTCTTCTAGTCCAACCCCCGGCTCAGGAAACTCTAGGAAACCCTATATCATTTCAGACAAGTGGTTGTCCAAGCTTTTCTTTAAAAACTTCCAGTGTTGGAGTATTCATAACGTGTGGAGGCAATTTGTTCCATTGATTAATTGTTCTGTCCGGAAATTTCTCTTTATATTTAGATGAAAGCTTTTGCTGGAGAAACGTTTTGGAGCTGAGTCACCTGAGGGAGCTGGGGGAGAGTCAGAAAGGAGTAAAATGTATTATCACTCGTGTGGAGTTGGTATCATGAGTTTAAATAAGTTATAGTGTGATGTTTTGCTGTGTTGTTTCAAAGGAGGGAGAGGTGGGGTAAAATTTAGGAGGGGGCAAATCTCCCCTTGCCTGATTTCCTTCTACAGGTAGTCCTTGACTTACCGCAGTTTATTTAGTGACCGTTCAAAGTTGCAACGGCACTGAAACAAGGGACTACATATAGTCACAAGTGGGAGGGGATGAGTAATAAGGAGTGATGAGAAGATTAACAGCAATAGTAGTGCAGACTTTGTAATAGTTGAACAGTGTTGACGGAATTATTTGTTTAGCAGAGTGATGGCATTCGGGGGAAAAACTGTTCTTGTGTCTAGTTGTTCTGGTGTGCAGTGCTCTATAGCGTTGTTTTGAGGGAAGGAGTTGAAACAGTTTATGTCCGGGATGTGAGGGGTCTGTAAATATTTTCACAGCCCTCTTTTTGACTCTGCAGTAAACAGATCCTTGATTGAAGGCAGGTGGGTAGTAATTGTTTTTTCTGCAGTCCTAATTATCCTCTGAAGTCTGCGTCTGTCCTATTGGGTTGCAGAACCAAACCAGACAGTTATAGAGGTGCAGATGACAGACTCAATAATTCCTCTGTAGAACTGGATCAGCAGCAGCTCCTTGGGCAGTTTGAGCTTTCTGAGTTGGCACAGAAATAATATCCTATAATTGATTATTTGTGAATAAGTAATAACATGAATATAAGTTAATAAGTATTGAGATTTGTTTTTGAAAGATAACCTAGAATTGAAATTAAACTTTAATGATAATATAATAATGGAACAATATGATATAGAATGTTGATTAGGATAAATTGTGAATATAACTAAATAAGAAATGTATAACAATACTAGCATGCACACAAGATATATGTATCCAACCAACACACTGTAAAATTGAAAGATGGTTTTATTTGTTGTTTTTGTTGTTTTAAAAAAAATCTAAAAAATAAGGCTTCGGTCTCTTTCTCTCCAGCCCTATGAAGCGGAAACACCAACTCCTTTCTGATAGTTTCAAGGCCAAGAAGCAATGGCCTGCTCCGAGTGACGGATCTGAGTCTTCTGGACAGGGTGAGAAAGAGTGAAATGCACTTTGCACGAAATACCTGATACGGGGCAGGTGAATGAAAAAAGGAAGGAGTTTCTAAATGGAGCCCAAGGGGGTCTTTATGGAAATGCTTCAACGGTGAGACGTCTCCGTTCTTATCTTAGCTGTTCCTTTTCTCAGACGGCCCCGCGGCAGTCGAAGCTGCTCTCCAGAATCTGGTATCTCTCTTCCCTCGTAAAGTATTTGAAGATTCCCTGCCGCCTTTGATTCTGAGGCATCAGATCTACAGTCTTGTCAAAGATCGTACGGTGGTAGACAGGTATCTGGTAAGTAAACTCCTCCCTGGTTGGGATATGGCAAACATCAGCGGCGAGCTAACAGGACCAAGATGGTGGTCACAGCAGTCCAATCAAAGCCCCGTCCACTCTGTGTGTGTGTGTGTGTGTGTGTGTGTGTGTAAATAAAGATTTGTTCTCCAAACGTTTCAGGTTGGTTTCCAAACGTTTCATCACAAGGCTAGGTAACATCATCATCATTATTATTATTGCCAGAGTACAACATGTGTACAACATCTTCAGTACAACATCTTCAGCAGAGTTTAAGGGATGTCAATGTTTCTCTGTTTATAAGGGTTTCAAGTGTGGGTGTGTCAAGTGGAGGTCCTGTGATGAATCAGCTGTGAGTCTTTAGTGAGTCTTGTGATGGCTCTTGTGCAGAGGTGGCATTCAGCAGGTTCTGACCAGTTCTGGAGAACCGGTAGCGGAAATTTTGAGTATTTCAGAATACCACCTCTGACTGGCCCCGCCCCCATCTATTCTCTGCCTCCCGAGTCCCAGCTGATCCGTTGGGTGTTCTTTTGTTGCCCTGCACAGGAGAACGGAGTTGGAAAGCAGGTCAGTTGGGTGGGGAATGGGGCCTTTGCAGTATCCTTCCCCTGTCACGCCCACCAAGCCACGCCCACAGAACCGGTAGTAAAAAAAAAATTGAATCCCACCACTGCTCTTGTGATAAGGAGATTACCTCAGGTCAGGGTCATTGGGAGGTGAACTGCTGGTGTGTGTGTGTCGGGGGGGGGGGTGGAATTGCATGAATTGGCTGAGGGTTGGTGCCGTCTCTGGTTGGCTGTGCGGTTGGTTTGGATTCTGAGGAGTTCGTAGGCTGGTTATAGGTCAATGTGTTGATGGAATTGCTTGTGGAGTGCCAGGCTTCGATGAATTTACGAGTGTGGTGGGTGGTAGCGTGGCCAATGGTTCTTGTGTTGCTCCCATCAAACTGGTGCTCTTTGGTGTTGGTGTGGGTAGAGATTAAGGATTTATTTACTGTATATATATATAAAATCACATGCACGTACAAAAGTGATGAGATTTTGATTGCATTGCTGCAACTTCCATCCTGACTCTTTTCATCTCTCCCAGAGCTGCTGCTGTTCTGATACCTTTAATTTGTGTCCATTGTCAAGAATGCAGGCAGTCCTTGACTTACAACTATTAATTTAGGCACTGTTTCAACTTAACAGTGACATTGAAAGAAGTGACTTAACAACCAGTCCCCGCACTTCTGAATACAGGTAGTCCTCGGCTTATGACCACAATCAAGCTCAACGTTTATGTTGCTAAGTCAAATGTTTGTTAAGTGAGTTTTGCCCCATCTTATGACCTTTCCTGCCTCGGTTGTTAAGTGAATCATCGCAGCTGTTAAGTTAGCAGCACGGTTGTGAAGTGAATCTGGCTTCCTCATTGACTTTGCTTGTCAGAAGGTCGCAAAAGGAGATCGTGTGACCCCCTGGAACACCGCAACCGTCGTAAATATGAACCGATTGCCAAACATCTGAATTTTGATTACATGACTACGGGGGATGCTACTTGGTCACAAGTGTGAAAAACGGTCATGTCACTTTTTTTTAGTGTGGTTATAACTAGGAATGGTCACTAAATGAACTGTTGTAAGTTGAGGACTACCTGTACTGCAGCATCCCCATAGTCACGTACTACAAAGTTGGGCACTTGGCAGCTGGCATGTATGTACGACAGCTGCCGGGTTCCAGGATCACAAGATCACTATCTGAGCCCTTCCCAACAACCAAAGTCAATGGAGGAAGGTGGATTTGCTTAATGACCATGTGATCCTCTTAACAACTGCAATGATTCTCTTAACAATGGCAAAAAGGTCATAAAATAATGTGTGGTTCACTTCGCCACCGCTTTGCTCAGGAATAGAAATCCTAGTGCCAATTGTGGTCAAGGACCACCTGTATTTATTTGACTTGATATTCTGCTAGATACCCAAATCTCTCATAAATTCAGAACAAAAATTATTGTGAAGGTTCTTTGCTTTCCAAGGCTTGGATGCATCACACCCTAGTAAATCTGTACACAATACTTTTTTGCAGCACACACACACACACACACACACACACACACACCCCTTCCGCAACAACAGGCTAATGCTCTTCACCTTTCTAAATATACCTTTAATATTTAGTCCTTTAATACTTAGTCCAGGCAAAAGCCTATTAATCTGTAAACTAACATAACAACCTTCTAGAGTTTTTACTCTATTTGGGATGAGATCCTGGATGAGATTCGGCGTGGTTGTTCTCAGTTGCTACTGGGCTCGCAGCAAAGCTCCGGGCTCCAGTCAGGACTTCCGCCATTTGTCTGAAATGGTATAGGGCACGGGTGGCAAACTTGCCGCGTCATGTTGCTGTCACGTGATATTTTTCCCCTTCACAGAGCTGGGGTGGGCGTGGCCTGCGCGTGATGCCTCCGGCCCACGGGCCGCCTGTTTGACACCCTCAGTATAGGGTTTCCTGCTCGAGCAGGGAGGGGGTTGGACTAGAAGACCTCCAAGGTCCCTTCCAACTCCGTGATCCTGTCACCAGGATATGCTGCTCATTATAGCTTGTGGCCCTGTAGTAGTGGTGGTATTCTACAGGTTCAGCCCGGTAGTTAAAAATGCTACCATTCGGCCGAACCAGTAGTTAAAAAAAACAGCTACTGGTTCGACTGAACCAGTATTTCTTTTTTTTCCTTCCTCCCAATGATCAGCTGTTCCGACGATCAGCTGTGCTGGGATCCCCCTCACTGTCTTACTGCTTCGGCCAGGAGGATTTCCTGAGGCCCAGGAAGCAAAAAGGGGCACCCGGGGGGGGGGATACTTCTTGTCCGTCCGTCCCCGGCTCTGTTCTTTGCCTCCTGGACCTCAGGGAAGCCTCCTGGGAGCAAAAACGGAGTGGAGGGGGGCAAAAAAATGGGGCGCGGGGGGGGGTTGCTGCTGAAAAAAAAGAAGCTACGCCCACTCAGTCACGTGGCCATGCCCACCTAGCCACGCCCACAGAACTGGTAGTAAAAATATTTGCATCCCACCCCTGCCCTGTAGGACAGTGGCCCCCAACCTTTTTTCTGCCACGGCCCGGTACCGGCATCACAAAATCATCCGCGGCCCGGTACCGGCATCAGCATGACAAGGCAAGGCGAGCCGAGCGACCGGCCAGCCAGCCGTCCCCCGCTTCTCCCCGCCACCTTCAACTCCTCCTTTGTACCTTTGTCGATGGGCTTCGGGACGGTCGCTCGGCTCACCTTGCCTTGGGTGCTGAAAGAATCCTCGCGCCTTAGTTTTGTTCGAAGCCGCCCCCCCCCCCTTCGATGAAACTAAGGCGCGAGGATTCCTTCAGGACCCAAGCGCCGCTTTCCAACCGGAAAAGCTCACCGGAAGCACTTTCTCATCAAAACAAGATGGCGGCGCCCAGCAAACCGGCAGCCTGGTACAAAATGTTCCACGGACCGGTACCGGTCCGGGGCCCGGTGGTTGGGGACCCCTGCTGTAGGAGACCTGTTTGTAATAGGTGACACTCTCCAGGCATCACTTCAGCCTCTTCGTCTCTATGCCATTTGCTTATCGCTTTTCCTCCTCCACATCCCTTCCCACTCTATCTTAGCATTGGTTTTTCTAAGCTAAACGTCCGGGTGAGGCGAAGACTGTCTCTGGATGTCAGCATATTCTTACAAGGACCAAGGTGTGGCTCAATTAGTACAGGCAGCTGCAACACCAGTTTGAATACTGGTTAGCCAAGTTGTGCAGGTAATGTATGAGTGCTTGAGGGAAGTGTAGGGTGGGAGGCATTTCTGCCCGACTGCAGCTGCTTTTTTCCAAAGAGCGGACAGCAGTCCCGACACCTCACAGTCATAAAAAACAGTTAAAATGTTATTAAGTAGTCCTGCTTCTAGAAGTTAACCTGTCAACCTGTGAGGGAATGTAGTCTGGAATCTCAGGAGGGGTGGAATAAATTCCAGAGAAGCAAGAGACAATTCACTTCAGATAGTTTGTGTGAGAGAGAAAAAAATCAAGATGGCTCCTCCCTGGTAGTGCCCAGAATATATTTGTATTTATTTTTCGTTTATTTGTATCCCGCCTGTATTATTTTTACAAATAACTCAAGGTGGTGAAGGGATACGGTGGCTCAGTGGCTAAGACGCTGCGCTTGGCGAGCAGAAAGGTTGCCAGTTTGAATCCCTAGTGCCACATAACGGAGTGAGCTCCTGTCCCAGCTTCTGCCAACCTAGCAGTTCGAAAGCATGTTAAAAATGCAAGTAGAAAAATAGGGACCACCTTGGTGGGAAGGAAACAGCGTTCCGTGCGCCTTCGGTGTTTAGTCATGCCGGCCACATGACCACGGAGACGTCTTCGGACAGCATCTTCGGCTTTGTAACAGAGATGAGCACCGCCCCCTAGAGTCGGAAACAACTAGCACATATGTGCAAGGGGAACCTTTACCTTTACCTTTACAAGGTGGTGAACCTATTCAACATCCCTCCCTCCTCCTATTTTCCCCATAACAACCCTCTCCTCAGGCTCAAAGTTCAGGCTCAACCTCCCATCCTTTCAATGTGTGTAAAATGAGGACCCAGATTGTTGGGGGACAATATGCTGACTCTGAAAAATCACTTAGGGCAGTGAAACACTGTAAAGCGGTATATAAGTGTAAGTACTATTGCTATCCTGATACTGCCCTTCATCAGGTTCATGTCCGCCTCTTCTTCCTCCACCTGCCAATTCAGCCTGGAAGGGAGAGAAGTGGGACACCCCCAGATAAGCAGTTCTTGGTTTTCTAACATAGTGAAGGGAAATTAACTTTAATTGATGATCGCCCTTTCCCTCACTCACTTTTCAGTATCATAGTGAAATAAGCCTTTGAAGATACTGGCCTTCAAGAAAGGGCATATTTCTTCCAGAAAAAGGAAGGGTACCCAAACTACTTCTATCACAATAGTGGATTCATAAAGCTCATTAAACCAGGTCAGTTAAAAGACTAAGAACCACAACTGCAGCATATCCTGGGTTTGCTTAGCTTTAACTTTCCTTTTGGATTTTTATATATATATATATATATATAGCTCTGCCTTGCAAGCCAAACCTTTTGGTTCAGTGTATTGAGGGAATCTTTAAAAAGTTCAGAACTCCAACAACATGAACTCAACTATAAAACCAACTTTAGTTTGTTTTAATTTCTGTTGGCTATAGATAATTGCTGTTTCTCTCTGCCATGTTAGCCAACGCAGGAGATTCTTCGAAAAGCCTGTTTTATGTTCTGCTTTGCCTCGTCTTCAAAATTCACGTGCCATATCTGCTTCTGGAAATGAATTGAGAAACTCTTCTTCTCTCTATAGAGCCAGCTGAAAAATGAGGGCCGGATCCGAATGTTTCAGCACGGTTTTGAAGCGGATTTTTTTGTGGTGGCCTTCACGGACAGCTACATATCTAAGGTTGGCTTCTGCCAAAGAGGGGCATGGACAGAGGAGAAGAGCCGCAGGGCCAGCAAGCTGATAATGACGCTCTTATTGTTTTTGTCTCAGGTGCAAGAATTTATATCGGGGAAGGAGTTCGCCGGGACGGTGAAGAAGTTTTTAGATTCGGTCCTTACCTCCTGCCCTGACATCAGTTTTGACAAGAAAACGATGTTGAGAGACTTTGGCTTTAGGGACACAGAAATCACGTAAGCAGACGAGGAGTCCCTGAGGCTGTCAATTTTCCTGCTGTTCCGTAACTATTTTTTTCCCCCCTCTTTTCACTGTTTGCTCTGCCGGCCTTTTCTCCAAATTAAGCTCATTCGTTGTGTGTCTGTTGGCTGGGGAATTCTGGGAGTTGAAGTCCACCCATCTTTAAAGCTGCCGTAGTTAAGAAACACCACTACATGAGTTTTGCTTGTGATTTAAAGACCAATAAGCGCCTCTGCTTTCTGAGAATTGCACGCATTCTCATGTTACAAAAGGCAAGCTTTGGGAGAACTTAAATCTCACAGGATCAAGTCTTAATCTTGTCTCATTCAGGGTCCCGTTTCCCACAGTGGCTAATTAGATACCTTGGGATGTTGTTTGACAACTCATACCAGGATGGTCGTCTTCCCTTTTTTTTTTCTGACTTACAACATTTTATTAGATTATAGAATAAAATACAAAAGCACAAAAGCAAATAGTAGGACACGGTAGGGAGAAGGAGAAAGAAAAGTGAGGAGGGGAGGGAGAAAATAAAATAAAATAAAACGCTGACTTCCAACTACCTCTGTTGAGGTAGAATAAAGCAGTAATATCGAACCTCAACTTTTTACTTTTCCATAATAATATAAACTAGCCATTTCTATGACAACAAATCAATCTAATCAATCAAGCCCAAGATCAAAGAAGAATAGTTGTCTTCTGAACAGGTAGTCCTTGAATTATGGCCACAATTAAGCCCAAAATTTATGTTGCTAAGCAAGATAATTGTTAAGTGAGGTTTGCCTCATTTTACAACCTTTTTTGCCACAGTTGTTAAGTGAATTGCTGCATTGTTAAAGGTAGTAATATGGTGGTGAAGGGAATTTGGCTTCCCCATTGACTGCTTGTTTGAAAAGGCAGAAAGCATTACCTCACAAATCAATATATTTGGTCGTGGAATAAATCACAATGGACGTTTACTTTTCCCCTTTCTGCCTTTTCTTCAGGCAGCTGGTGAATGCTGGAGTCTTGACTGTCCGTGATGCCGGGAGCTGGTGGCTCGCTGTGCCTGGAGCAGGCCGCTTCATCAAATGCTTCATCAAAGGTGTACCTGTTCGCACAATGTGCAGCTAAGCAATAGTTGCAGTTTGTTGGCTGAACTCACACATGATGCTAAGAAGCAAATAAACAAATCACATTATCATTCCGAGCCTGAAACTTTGAAACCTGCAAGATTTCACTAGATTAAGCAAGTCCCAAATTCGCATCCAGAACCAGCAAATATATTTCAGGGGTTTTGGGGGGAGTAGTAGAAACTTCTTCGCATTTTAAATTCATGAAACCATTACAATTTAGCGTGGCTCTTTCATTTGAGGGTTTGTTTTTGGCAAACTAAATTAAGAAGAAATTGGAAGAATTGGAAGGAGGAGGAAGGGAGGGGGAGGGGGAGAAAGAGAGAGGAGGAGGAGGAAGAGGGAGGAGGAGGAGAAGGAGAAGAAGAAAAGTTCTCCATTACCTTATCCAGTGCAGGATGTCCAGTCTTGAACTCCATTTATCAGACCTGCCCTGACTTGGTCCCTTATCCCAAAAAAAAAAAAAAAAAAAAACCCCCTTTTGGGGGGAGAGCTATACTTTTAATAAAAGCCAAGTGGATTACAGAATGGCAAAGCCAGAACTTAACTTCCGGTGCCTCCCTGTTAAACTTTCCCCCGTCCACTTCCTCTCCTCCCCTATTCCCTTCTTCTCCAATTATATTTGCATACATCGTTTTTGGAACAGTTTCTTCAACGGAGGGCTGGTTGGTTGGTGAGCCGTTGCATTCCATTCCCAGGGTTTGACCCTAGAGATGGTGCCTCCGGAAGGCACGAGGATTTGGTAGTCTTCTCCTTTCCCATCCAGCTCCCCGCCCCCCATAGTGCATAGCAGACTGACAGCTAGTGTTGAGGTAATTCCCCTATAGGAGAATGAGCACATACAGGGACACGTATTTGAGAGTAGTGTAGGAATAATACACACAGAGCACACAGATACACTGTACAGTAAATGTAGGTTTTTACTTCCAGAAAGGTTTAAGCAAAGTCCAAAATAAGCAATCCAAAATCATTCACAGGTAAATCAGTCAGTTTTTCAATCCAGGGATAATCCAAATATCAAAGTCCAGTGTCAAAAACAGTTCAGTAATAGACTTACATTAAATCCAGTAATATCAGTCAATTAGAAGAAATGGAGCAATGGCAATACTTTCCAACAGAAGGAAACAGAGATACACTTAGTCTCTTCTGAGACTCAGACTAAACAACCCAGGTTTCTGGCTCCATCTTATGGCTGTTTGAGAAACCACACCCAATTGCATGCTCTTGCATTCCCTTAAAGACATAGTCCTAAAATGTTTATCCTGGTTTATATATTTCTAACCCAAATACCCGTTAGGTGACTTATATTCCTAACAGCTAGCAAAAGTGAAGCTGAAGCGTATGATGGCCGCTCTGACAGGAGCGGCTCGCTGACCATTTTTCTCTTCCCAGGAAGGAAAGCTGTCTTGGGGATGATCCAGAAATCCAAGTACAAGGAAGTCCTCCTGTCTGATTTGCAGAGCCGCCAAGCGCCCAATGCTGTGAAACTGGGCCTTCCCTACCATATTCACGACATCATTGGAGCCCAGCTGGTTGACTGGTATTAGATTCCTTTTTCTTCTCTTTCTTGTCTCCATTCCCTTCTATTTATGGCTTCCGGGAACCCACAGGCAATCTCGACATCAATTCGTTTGGCGACTGTTTGAAGTTACAGCCACCTTGAGAAAAAAAAGTGACTGGCAACCAATCCTCGTGCGTACAACTGTCGCGGGATCTCCACAATCGCAAGATCAAAATCCAGACACTTGGCAACCATCGTATGGAGTTAGTTGATTGAGTTGCAGCATCCTGGGTTCATGTGATTACCATTTGTAACCTTCCCAGCTGACTTCTGACAAACAATCTCCAAGGGGAAGCTGGATTTGCATAATACATAATTTAGTTGGAAACTACAGTGATTCACTTAACCGTGACAAAAAAAAAATGTCATAAAATCAGGCACACAACTCACTTCATAATCTTAGCAATGGAAATTCTGGTCCAGAATGTGGTTATACATCGAGAACTATCTGCAGGGGTGGGATTTAGCCGGTTCGGACCGGTTCAAGCGGACCGGTAGTTCCAGCGATCAGTTGGCCACGCCCCTGCTCTAGTCTCTCCTATATTTCCGTGTTTTGCAGCTCGGCTGATTCGCACAGCACAGCGAATTGCCATGCGAATCAGTTGTTTTGCTCACCAAGGCTGCAGTAGAAGGTGCGTTTTAGAGCTGAAAATAGCGGTTTTCAAACGCTGTGCACGCAAATCATATACTCACCGGACCGGTTGAATCCCACCACTGACTATCTGTACACCCTTTAGAATTTTGATCTTCTCAGAAACATAATAATAGGATTTATTCAGGGGTGGGATTCTACCAGTTCGCACCTATTCGCTAGAACCGGTTGTTAACATTCTAAGCAGCTCGGAGAACCGGTTGTTAGAAGAAATTACTGGCCTAATCCTGTAAGGAAGGCAGGAAGGAAACATTCTGGTGTTGCTTACAGAAACTGCCTCTCCGTTAACCCTTATGACATTCTTGGCAGGACTAGATTTCCTGTCCCAGGAACTTCTCTGGAGTTTTTTTCCCCTCCTTTACTGGTACTTTGCTTGTGTGGAGTGACCATTCAAAGTTACAATGGCACTGAAAAAAGTGACTTACGACAATTTTTCACACTTATGACTGTTGCAGCATCCCCACAGTCATGAGAGGCCAGGCGAGGAGATGCGTGCCTCGATGTGAGCGATATTGAGTTGGCCACACCCAGCCAATAACATGACCACCAAGCCACGCCCACCCAGTCACATGACCACCAAGCCACGCCCACCACCCAAGCCACGCCCACAGAATCGGTTGTTAAAAATTTTGAGTCCCACCCCTGGATTTATTTTTTCCCTTCCAAAGAACCCAAGTTGAAATGCTGATAATAGGAACACAGGATTTCTGCATCTGGTTCAGATGCCTGGACTTCAGCTCCCAGAATTTCGCAGCCAGCATGCTGGCAGTAGACGTCTACGTATCTTAATAGTTGCCCAAGGTTGGGAAACACCCGTTTAGAGATACCTTGCACATTTGAACAAGGGGATCAGTGGGTTAAACGTTTCAGAGTCTCAAAAGCCCACTCACGTGTCTCTGTACCATTGTTATTCTACATTCCTCTTGCGAAGCCTTTTGAGGGATCCAGTCAGATCCAAGAATTTGAGAATGTCTTTAGAGATAAAACTGGGCAGCCAGAAAAGTCAAAAGCCACATCTTCAGATGTCTAATCTGTCCTTGGGAATCTAAGGTTACTGCTAGATATTTGCCTTTCAGGTTTGTTTTAAATATCTTGTGTCTTCTATCTATTGTGAAATGGCATGCCCCCATCTTACCATGGCATTGAGCAATTCTGAGCGCTGGTTGCAATATAACAGAAGTATGGAGATTTCAGCTAGGAAGCCTCGTGGCTGTGCTCTAAATAGAAGAGCATTGTTGGAAAGTACTCCTCAGTTTCCTGGTTGCACTGGGAGGAATTATAATATTTCACCAGAGAGCTTTAATGATTTAATTGGTTGCCTTGTTCTATCAAAGGTCAAACTCTTCCATGTGGGTTAGCCCTGGTGAACTCAGTGGCAGAAAATACAAACTACAAAAAGTGTTTGCTGTATTTCTTTTCATACTGTTCCATGCAGCTCGGCTAAGTTTCTTTCCTGCTTTTGATTTTTAATGATGCCTTTCTCATTCTCTCTAGCGTGCCAACGACCTCTGGGACCCTCCTGCGACTAACAGATGATTAAAAATGTGCCAAGCAGAGAACTGTGCCCAAAATAGACTTTTTAGATTTTTTTTTTCACATCGGGATTCGGAGTTTTTTTTTTAAAATGAGCTTCCGGCATTAGTGGGACCAGAAGAAACTTTTCCTCAGCAAAGTAACCTTCACTGATCTAGAAATTGCACTTAACACAGGAGCTCCTTGTAGGAAACTATCGTAAACGGATTGGGATTTCCCACATTAATGGTTACATGCGTGGGCCTGAATTGAGAGTAAAATAAAATGATACAGTCCTTCTCCATGAATTGTAGAGGCTGAAGTAAGCTTTCTGTCCTAGGCCTCCCCAAAAGCACTAAGTCAATTCTGAGTTCCAGCAAAACCTCTTTTATTACATTAATGTGAATTTATTTCATTCACAATCAGCCAATGGCTTGGCAAACAGTCTTGCAAAGGTATACGAATTACCTCAGACCTTTATCAATTCTGGAACGCTGCCTGGTAAAATTCCACACTCAGTGCTGACAGGGAAGGGCTGGGTTATATAGACCAATTTTCACGAGACTGAAACAGACGGACGAGCAAGTTGTTTTCTGCAAAAGCCTCCTCCCCTTTTGCTTCTCTTTTAATCCTGATAGGAGGGGCCATTCATCGTCCACCTATGGCCTTACTCCCACGTCGACCCTGAGTTCTTAATTGTGCCTTCCTTTTGGCAGCTCTGCGCATGCACAGGCTGGGAACCGGTTCTAGAAGCTCCCGTGCCTCACTGCTGTCCGAGCCCGAAGGCAGCTGATGACTGCTAGCCTGCTCTGGCCCCATCTCTGCCTCTGATGCAGAGCCCTCATCCGGGCCTTCCTCAGCCTCCAGGACTGGCCCGGGTTCCTCCCCAACCTCCTCACTACTGTCCGACTGCTGCCAGCTCCACCAGCCATTGGCGGGCCACAACAATAGCGAGATACACTCCCTGGTTGGTTCATTCCTTGTGTATGGTGTTAGATATTTATTCTGTATACCTTGAATATGGGTTTACAATGGGTATGAATTTAGTCACTTGTTGCAAAAACAAAAGAAGTTTGGAACGTGTCTTTAAATGGAATTTAAAAAACCCAAAGGATGTGCTTGTCTTTTATTTCTTCACGCTCGTTTTTTAGGAATATACATGATTATTTTTATGGAGGGGGGGTTTCCAATTCACAAATAATCTGCATTTCAGATTACAGGTAAATCCTTGATTTAACAACAGTTCATTTAGTGACCGTTCAAAGTCACAGCATCGCTGAAAAAAGGGGCTTATCGTTTTCCACACTTATGATCGTTGCAGCATCCCATTCCCCGTGGTCACATGATCAAAATTGGCAAATGATTCATATTTATGACAATTACAAGATCCTGGGATCATCTTGTGACCTGACAAGCAAAGTCAACGGGGAAGCCAGATTAACTTAACCGTGTTACTAATTGAATAACTGTAATGATTCACTTAAACCACTGTGCCAAGAAAAGTCATAAAATGGGGCAAAATTCACTGAACAACTTTCTCACTTAGCAACAAAACATTTGGCCTCAATTGTGGTCGTAAGTCGAGGACTGCCTGCGCACTTTGATTCTAGCATGTGTAAGTATGATTATTCTCCCTTTCTAAAGCCCTAAGCACTTATTGGCCCTTTGTGATATCAGAAACTGTGTTGTATTAGACACTGAACAGTAAATGCTTGTTCGTCTCTTTTCGGCAATGTGAAATTAAGAATGACTGTTACTACTATTGCTCATTTGTTACACAACTTCATGTGTGCTTCCACCGAGTCACATGTATAGTGTTCATGTTCATTTTTTCCCCATCTGGAGAGATCGTTTTGAACAGTCTTTGCAGTTTCTAAGCTGTCCCCACCCTGATTTACTACAAACTAGAAATTTAACCCTCTTAGCTCATTCCTAGCCCCATGAAATAATTAGAAAATGTCACTTAAAAAAAAAAAAAAAAAGACCTTTGGGAAGAATTCTTTAAAAACTAGCTATTTAGTGCTGTGTTATTTTTTACTCTTCAATTTCCTTAATGATTTCTAGGAGGGAACTTTTGTTTTAAGGCTAGACTGCTAAATTTTATTATTGATCTATTCCCTCAAAGTCAGGCAATTCATTACGAAGCTGCATCATGATCAAATGTGTATCTTTCTCAAAAGAGGATATTAACATTACAGAGCAGGATCTGCCTCCTGCCTGCCATGTATTTTTCTACCTTTTCCAAATGGCCGATTCACCCCTTCGTCCGCCTTTCTTTTAGTACTGACAGTCAATAAAGCCCTTTCGTCAATTATTATCTTCCCTTGCCAGTCTTAATTCTTTTTATGGTGTAGGGTTCATCTTATTGATTTAGTAAAATATCTAATTCCAGGAACACAAACATAATCAAGAGAATCATATTAATCGTATTAATAAGGATTCAACAAAATCTGCAGGACTATAGACGTTGCAAAGCTCCTAAATTCAGCTCACTGAGCCTCCGTATAGTAGGGGTATAGTAGGCCAAAATCACACAGGACTCTAAATCTCTTAACACAGTATGGAATTGTGGCCATATACTGTATTTTAATGGTTTATTTTGGGGGCATTGAGCATAATTTGGTCATATGGATCTGTGGGTTGCAAAACTTGAATATCTTCAGTGTTGGATGAGGGTGGACTACCCCAGATGGACCGGGCATGCAACTCAGAGTTGTCCCAGTGAGATAGGTGGCATGGATGCTTATAAATATGATAAATACTTATGCTCCAATATGACACTTGCTCCAATGCTTAATAAAGGAGGTCAGTAAATCTCTTACTCTGCTTTCATCCCTCTGTGTATGTGCATGTATCTGTCTCTGTGTTTCTCTCTGTGTGTATTTCTTTGTACTCAAAAGTTGACGAGAGAGAAGAATGCTATTGGGTACTTGTTAGTGGAATCCCAAATGAGATACTTGTTTGTTGCCTAGTCGGAGTGTTGTTACTTAAACCCTCCAGGAGGGTTTAAGCAGGAAATGTACCAAGAGAGTGCTCCGAAGACCTTGAGAATATAACTTACCACCACCCTGACTACACAACTAACAAGCATCTCCTTTCGGATTCCACAAACAAAAACAAGTGATTTGATGAAATCATGTTTTGGCCACAACAAAGCTTAAATAACTACAGTATAACAGAACAACAGAGTTGGAAGGAATCTTGTCTAAGCTCTTTCTCAAACAGAAGACCCTGTACCATTTCAGACAAATGGCTATCCGATCTCTTCTTGGAAACCTCCAATGATGAAGCACCCACAACTTCTGAAGGCAAAGCCTTTCCACTGATTATAGACTGAGTAATCTCCATTCATTCATGATGGCAATCTTTCAATATCTGAGGGGCTGCCACCAAGAAGAAGAGGGAGCCAAGCTATTATCCAAATCCCCTGAAGGCAGGACAAGAAGCCATGGATGGAAACTAATCAAGGAGAGAAGCAACCTAGAACTAAGGAGACATTTCCTGACAGTTGCAACAATTATTCAGTGGAATGAGTTGCCTCCGGAAGTTGTGAATGCTCCAACACTGGAAGTTTTTAAAGAAGAGATTGGATAACAATTTCTCTGAAATGGTTTAGGGTTTCCTGCCTGAGAAGGGGCTTGGACTAGAATACCTTTAAAGTCCCTTCCAGCTCTGTTACAGGTCTCAACTCGTGACCAAGATGTCTGTCATTAAGTGAGACATTTGTTAAGTGAGTTTTGCCCCCTTTTACTACCTTTCTTGCCACGGTTGTTAAGTGAATCACTGCAGTTGTTAAGTTAGTAACACGGTCGTTAGGTGAATCTGGCTTCCCCATTGACTTTGCTTTGCCAGCAGGTCGCAAAAGCTGATTACGTGACCTCAGGACACAGCAACGGTCATATCACGTGACCATGGGGCAAAGGATGTGAAAAACGGTCATCGGTCACATTTTTCAGTGCCGTTGTAACTTTGGATGGTCACTAAAGGAAATGTTGTAAGTGAAGTCACTAGCTGTATTCTGTTGTTGAAATGAACAGAGAGAAGAAAAGGGGCAGCACCCAGCCAGGATGCATCCTACATAGCAATAGCACTTAGACTTATATACCGCTTTATAGTGCCCTCTCTAAGTGGTTTACAGAGTCAGCCTATTGCCCCAACAATCTGGGTCCTCATTTTACCCATCTCGGAAGGATGGAAGGCTGAGTCAACCTTGAGCCTGGTGGGATTTGAACTGCCAAATTGCAGGCAGCTGGCTGCAGAAGTAGTACTCTAACCACTGCGCCACCAAGGCTCCTTTTATTTTTTTACATGTTAAATGTTCAATTTAATTGACCAGTTTTTTTCTCTCTCTCTTTTTTTCAATACACTATTTGTTGTTGTTGTAGTACAGGCAGTCCTCGACTTATGACCACAATTGAGCCCAACACATGTTGCTAAGCGAGACATTTGTTACGTGAGTTTTGCCCCATTTTATGATCTTTCTTACCACCATTGTTAAGTGAATCATTGCAGTTTTTAAATTAATTAGGTTGTTAAGTGAATCTGGCTTCCCCATGGACTTTGCTCGTCTGAAGGTCGCAAAAGGGGGATCACACGATGCCAAGTTATCGCACCCGTCATAAATGTGAGTCAGTTGTCAAGCATCGAATGTAAATCACGTGACTACAGGGATGTTGAAACCGTCATAAGGGTGAAAAACAGTCACAGCTCGCTTTTTTTCAGTGCCATTGTAACTTTGAATGGTGACTAAGTGAACTGTGGTAAGTCGAGGACTACCTGTATGAACCAGTTGAAGCCATGTTATTATTACACCCATCATAAATGTGAGTCAGTTGTCAAGCATCCGAATGTAAATCACTTGGGGATGTTGCAACAGTCATAAATGTAAAAATTGGTCATAAGTCACTTTTTTCTGTGCCATTTTGAACGGTCACTCCATGAACAGTTGTAAGTTGAGGACAACCTGTAGTTGTTAGGGTTGGATGTATGTTTCTGTTTTGTTTCATTCTAGTTCTCTAGTGCAAAGAAGAGCAACCAGGATGATTAGGGGACTGGAGACTAAAACATATGAAGAACGGTTACAGAAACTGGGCTTGGCAAGTCTAGTGAAGAGAAGGACCAGGGGAGACAGGAGAACCGTCTTCCAATATTTGAGGGGCTGCCACAGAGAGAAAGAGGTCAAGCTATTTTCTAAAGCACCTGAAGGCCAGACAAGGAATAATGGATGGAAACTGAACAAGGAGAGATTCAACCTGGAAATAAGGAGAAACTTTCTGACAGTGAGAATAATCAACTAATGGAATAGCTTTGCCCTCGGAAGTTGTGGGAGCGCCATCACTTGAGACCTTCAAGAAGAGATTGGACTGCCATTTGTCAGAAATGGTGTAGGGTCTCCCGCTTGGGCGGGGGTTGGACTAGATGACCTATTTTTATTTATTTATTTATTTATTTATTTATTTATTTATTTATTTATTTATTTATTTATTTATTTTGTCAAGCGATTATAAGATAACAGGTATATGTATAAACATAGTCATGAGTACATGAAATGGATATGTATAAGAAAAAAAAGAAACAAAAAAGAATCAATAGGACAGGGACCGTAGGCACGTTGGTGCGCTTATGCCTGCCCCCTACAGACCTCTTAGGAAAGGGGTGAGGTCAATAATAGACAGTCTAAGGTTAAAGTTTTTGGGGTTTGGGGAAGAAACCACAGAGTCAGGTAAAGTATTCCAGACATTGACCACTCTGTTGCTGAAGTCGTATTTCCTGCAATCAAGTTTGGTGCGGTTTACCTTGAGTTTATATCTGTTGTGTGCTCTTGTATCGTTATGGTTGAAGCTGAAGTATTCAATACTTTGCAATGTATTTCATTGTAATGTAATTCATTGCAATGTATGGATTTTATATACTATACTTAGATGGGACCGAAGACGGCGTAAGTTCTACAAGGTCCCTTCCAGTTCATCTGTTAATTGTTTGTGTTACTGTTTTATATTTTATTTTCTATGATGAAACAATACACGTCACCATAGAAACTCATCCGTAAATACCTAAAAAGAGAAAAGGGGCAGGGCCTCATCCGCCCACTCGGACAAGGCTTCGAGGACAGGGGAAAAAGGCAAAGCAGCAACCACCACAGCTGCCTCCTCCTGCCATCGCTCTGGTCGTCACTTCCGCCCGATATACAAGGGGCGATGAAGGCTGCTTGGGGCTTCGCGCCGGGATCGCCTCCGCGGGACGGTTCGGGCTCTGCCCGGAGGAGCCCCTTGGTTTGGGGGCTTCTATGGCTGGGGCTGTGGTGGTGGCGGGTCTCCGGGATGGCCACTCCGGACCAGGTAACGCCGGCATCGCGTCTCTCGACCGGGTCTGGCGGGGACGGGACGGGACGGGGCAGGTGCCCGCTTTGGCCGCAGGGATCGTCTGAATGAAGAAGAGAAGGAGCGGGAAGGGGTGGGTGGGCAGCTGGCCGGGCATAGGGGCCGCCCTGGAGGAGTATCGGAAGCCGAGTCCTTTGGCTAAGCTGCAAAGAGACCGGAGGAGACAGAAGGTCGCCCGGGTAAGGGACACCCACGACTCGGAGGATGACTCACAATAGCAGGGTTGTGGTTGTGGTTGTGGTTGTTGAAGTTTAGCCGGCTTGCTTCGCTGCTCCGGTTTGTTTGTTGGTGGCTCACAACGCGCCCGGTGTGGAGCGGTTCACCTCCCACCCTGCGAAGGAGCAATTCACTTAGAACAGGGAACCTCACCTCGGGGTTGGAAAGGGACCTTGGAGGTCTTCTAGTCCAGCCCCCTGCTCAGACAGGAAGCCCTATACCATTTCAGACAAATGGTTGTCCAATCTCTTCTTTAAAACTCGCAGTGTTTGATAATATGAGTTATTATGTAATGTAACTGTAATTGAGACTTCGAAATGGATGCACAAAAAAACTGGTAAACCAACCAACACACTGTTTGTATATTTATCAAAGAAAGCGGGATGTTTTTATGTTTTGTTTGTTTTGTTTGTCTTTAAAAACTAATAAAATTGTTTTCCAAAAAAAAAAAAAAAAAGCTCGCAGTGTTGGAGCATTCACAACTTCTGGAGGCAGGTTGTTCCACTAGTTGTTTGTCCTCACTGTTAGGAAATTTCTCCTTAGTTTTTAGGTTGCTTTTCTCCTTGATTAGTTTCCTTGATTTGCTTCTTGTCCTGCCCTCAGGTGCTTTGGAGAATAAGTTGACCTCCTCTACTTTATGACTACAGGATACGGATGGGTGCTTTTTCAAGAGGCAATTGGACGTTCTGGTTTTTCTTTTCTTTTTTCTTTTTTAAAAATATTTTATTGAACATAATTAAAAACATTGAACGTGGTTAAGCCATTTTGACATAACTTTTGGTCAATATCACACAAATACATACTTTCCTATATACATTTGTTCAAATATATAAATATGTAGATTTATTCATTCATATATTACATTCTCCAAAATCTTTGGTCCTATTTTCATCTTCATACTCTCATTTACCCTCTCAACAACTCTTTTCCAACTTAAGACCTTCCTTTCTGTCCCCATCAGTGGTAAAATCTATTCCAAATTGCGTAATATTCCGACTCGTCTTTATTTTTCATCTCTAAAGTTAACTTGTCCATTTCAGCAATTTTGTTTATTACTTGGTCATCACTTGGTATCTTTCTCCTTCCAGTTCTGGGCAAATGCTATTCTTGCCGCAGTAATAACATGTATACTCAAATATAGCTCATCCTTATTATATTTTTTTGATATGATTCCTAATAAAAAACATTCTGAACATGATCTAATTTGAAAACCCAACATTTCCTCCAACCACTTCCCCATCCTAGGCCAAAACTCTTGCGCTTTTTACTTTCTAGTTTTTCTTTGAAGATGTTTTGCTTCTTTGAAGCTGAAGAAGCTTCTTGGATGAGAAGCGAAACATCTTCAAAGAAAAACCAGAAAGTCCAGTTGCCTCTTGAAAAAAAAGCACCTTTGGGACCCTTTTCTTTATGGCAACCCCTCAAATATTGGAAGACTGCTATCATGTCACCCCTAGTCCTTCTTTTCACTAGACTAGACCTACCCAATTCCTGCAACCTTTCTTCCTATGTTTTAGCCTCCAGCCCCCCAGCACTCTTTCCAGTGTCTCAATATCTTTATATTGTGGTGACCAAAACTGGATGCGGTGTTCAAAGTGTGGCCTTACCAAAGCATTATAAAGTGGTACTAACACTTCATATATGATCTTGATTTTATCTTGCTGTTAATGCAGCCCAGGATTGCATTTTGAATTAAAAGGGGAGCCTCAGCGTACTGCAGGCAGGTATGTTGGACTACAACCCCATAATTCCAAACCACTACCTGTGCAGGCTATCAATTCCTGCCAGCCATTCTTCATATGTTTTAGCCTCCAGACCCCAATTATCTTTATTGGTGTTTCTACTCTTTCCAGAATCTCAACATCTTTTTAATATATTTTAATATATTTTATATACAGTACTTAAGATATATTTTTATATTTATAACTTCTCTGGATGGATTTGGAATCCCGTGGAGGGAATGGTCCAATGTTTAAATGATTTTCACATTGTGTTTTCGAGGCTGGCCTGGCTCCCCTTGACTTCATGGACTAGTCCTTAACAGATAATCAGAGTTGGAAGGGACCTTGTAGGTCATCTAGTCCAACCCCTTGCCCAAGCAGGAGACCCTACACCATTACTGACAAATGGCAGTCCAATCTCTTCTTGAAAGTCTCATGTGATGACGCTCCCACAACTTCCTTGAAGTTTTCATAGTGAGATTTTTGGAAATGGGTTGCCCCCTTCCCCGCTTTGTCCTAGGGGTGAACCGAGAGTGACAGGCCTAAAGGTCACCCAGTTGGCTTTGTGCCAAAGGCAGGACTAGAATTCAAAAGTTTCCCAGTTTCTAAACTGCTTCTCTCACAGCTAACTGTCACTTCCTTTCCTTCTTGTCATCTTTCCAATCAGGTCTGGTGTGGTTATTATTTTTTTTTTAAAAAAACAAGGAGTCTGCTGGCATCTTTTCCAACCGGCACATTTTATTAATAGATAAGATTTCAGCTCACTTTGTCAGAATGGCTAAATTGCTGGAGGATTGAAATTGAGGTGAGATGGACAGGAAAGTAGTTTCTCTTTGTTGTCTTGCCAGCTTCATCCTTGGTGACCATACTGATGTTTAATTGTGATGATGATCACGTTTTTATCCTGCCTTTTAAAATATATTTATAACTCAAGGCAGGAAACGTGTGTAATTTTTCCAAGCTTCTATTTTCCACACAGCACAACCTTGTGAGGTTGAAAGAGACTGAGTGATTGGGCCACAGACGTTATATTCGGTATTTCTACACCAAAATCTGTTAATGAGAGAAGTGGGGGAGTCCAAACCCCACTAATATCAGAATACTAACAGCAGAATCGTTTTGTGTTAGTCTGTTGCTCGGGTGCATTCAAAGGGAGCCTGACTATCAGCTGATATTAGAGCTCCTTTAAGTATGGGTGCAGTATTTACTATTCAGGGACAATTTTAAATTATTATTTGATGTTTTTTCTGCCTTTTTTACATATATATCAAGGTAGTGAGCGTACCCAACTGTTCCTGCCTCTTGCTTTCCCCACAAGAACCCTGTGAGGTGGGTTGGGCTGAGAGAAATTGTATAGGGCAGGGGTCTTCAAACTTGACAGCTTGAAGACCTGTGGACTTCAACTGCCAGAA